GCTCTGTCACTGCTGATTCAGTGGGCTTACCTCCAAGTGTAAATATCTGCCGAGTTAGAGCCAAAGGGTTCTTTAAATCAGATGCTTAGCAGCCAACAGATATCTGTCATTATTGTTCATGAAGACTCATTCTCATGAGACAAATACACAGAAGGCAACTTTTCTATTTCACTTTGTTGAATTCATTTTATCAGATCTTCAGGCCTAATGGTGTTTTACTGCTTTATGTGGATATTTTATTTTAAGATAATATTCTCATCCAGTTATCCTTCCATAGATTTATAGTAAAAATGCTAAGGACAGTTTGTATCTAACCCTTTCATAAGACATGTTTGAGAAGTTCAGCCGAATATGCTCAGTGCATTTTTTTCTGCTTGCCATCCTTCACAGATTTACTTCTTTCCATTCCATCTAAAAATATTGTTTTGTTTAAGAAGAAAAAAACCCTATCCTTATGACAATTTGCATAATATGTTAATGCTGGTATGCATCTAGACATCTGGATGGCATTTTAATATCTCATTCTCATTCAAACAACTAGAAACCACACAGATGGTAGAGACAATTTTAAGAGCATTGTTGTAAACAAATAAGGCAGCCAGGAAATCAAACACACTCTAAGACAGGCTTTAGAGCCTCTACTGCTTTCTGTGTGAGAATATGCATATGACATGTTTTGACTGCAAGAGAGAGCAGCCTTCTTCAGTTTCAGATAAACTAAGAGGTAAGTGCAGAATTTTAAACTGAGATTGGGGATCATTTTATGGAAAACTCCTTACTCTGCCTAACTCAACTGGCACCGCAGATCATACTCATACTTGCAAGATCAAGTTATTTGAGGCTTAGGATGCTGCTGGGCAGAATATGGGTTTTATTTTCTCTTGTTTTCAATTAGCAATAGAAATACGAAAAATCCTGATTGCTTCAGGAAGAAGACATGTCAAATTTGTTTTCGTACTTTACATAATAATGTACCTTCTAGTACTTATTTCTCCCCTTTGTTACAAATTCATCTGCATGAAGTTGTATAGGACTCGGTAATCCCCTACAGTCCCCTTTAATCTGCTTCTTGTTTGTACCTCTTTACAGTTATGTAATCTTTCTAAAGTAGAGGAGCTACTGCAGGCGCCAACATTTTGGATGCCAGTCCAGTACGCTTATGTAATAGTTACACAACAGCCTGTTCAATAGATGGAGCTGAAGTCTCACCGGCTGCTGCTAACTAGCGTTGTCTCTCTGGATTGTGCTAAAATAACTCATCGGTATCTTTATCAAATGACGTAATGAACTGATTACTCTTCCCTTCAGTATAGCTGCTCTTGGACCTCTTAGTAATTATGGCTATAGATCCCACAGAATTAATTCCACTGACCTTATAGAAGAAGTTTACAGGCATTCAGTTTTAGTCAATGAAATACATACCACAAGAGTCCAGGGCCTCCTCCTTTCCCATCATCTCCCCTAACACAGGCAAAAAGTTACAGCTCATACTGTCTGTCTTCACTAAATACTTTTAAGTACATGAAAATACTATGAAAGCTATTGAATCCTGCATTACAATCAAGCTATAACAGCCTCTACTGATCACCGTAAGGAACGCCTCAGGTAGTAAAGGCCAGGGAGCTATTAGGCAAACTAGTTGAAAATCTGTGCCCATATAAATAATCTGATCTCAAGTTAACTGAAGGCTGTGGGACTCTCTCAAATTCAATAGAACAGGATTACAAACTCACAGAAAGCTGGTGAGTAACCTCATCAGGAAGCAGTTTATCAAGGGAACTTGTGAAAACAGTAGTTCTTAAAATATTTCTGCTTTTCCTCCCAATCTCAAAAAAACCTGGATTTGTATGTTGCAAGTGCTAAGAAGAGAATGGAAAAACAGCTCACAGAAGTGAAAGCCAACGCCAACAGATATTTACTTCATCAGAAATAAGGGCCTTAAATTGTCTCTCAAACCTGGGAATAAAAATGACACCGCAACATAAAATGCCACAGCAGAATCCATGCAGAATGCACTTTGAATAAACCCACTTCCATTCCCGAAGGCCCTGCACTCTCAAGCTGACACCCCTAATACCTAACATGCAAGTGATACAGGGCACAGGGTGGCATTATTCTTTCCCATAGATCTTTCTCTGAGTCTCTGTCTCTCACTCCTTTCCTTCCTCCAAGAAGCTCTCCATACCCAAGCCTGGTGTCCCAGACTGGCTCATGAGCCAGCTCTTAAAAACTCCCAGGTAGCTGCCAAGGATCGAGGCCTTTTGCAGTGATTGGGGCTGGCAGCACAAAGCAGGCAAATGGATAGTGGCAGGAGTGGGAATCTGGGCCAGTGACTCACAGCTATGAAAACTTTATGTGCTATGTTATAAGTTTGCCTTAAACAGATCAATAAAACTTTAATCCCAGGCATGCTTACTTTGACAAACGTAGTTAGTGTCTGGCAGAATTGGAAGGATAAAAATAGTCATTTAAATTTTTAGTCTGCAAATTTTAAGATTGCAAACAGCATTTTCTCTCAAAGATGATTCTTTACTTTGTTCCTATAGCTGGATTTTTGTGATGTCTTGTGCATGCTTAAAGGAAATCATGATCTAAGTGTTCATACTGCAAGCCTGTTGCTGATATAGCTATTGTGGCAACTAGAACATATGGAAAAAGCATTAATAATAAATGGTGGAAATGTCATCCTCTGATCAGAGTGGTAGAAAGCAGGAAAATGATTAAATTATGATAGGAGTAGTAAAAAAACAACAGACAAATTTTTAAAGGACAGATTCGCACCTTGCTCTTAGACTGATAGGACTGCCATGCCCTCTCGTCACCTGGCTTGGCAGGTCAGCAGAAGAGGACATAGACCCAGCAATGGGGCCAACTGAAGGAGCCATGCTCAGGAGAGGGAGCCCAGGCAAAGCTTCAAGATCTCCCTCCTCATCTCCTCCTCAGTGAATTGACCTGCGTTGAAAAAAAAAAAAAAAGGTGAAGTGGCGGTTTGCAAAACTGATGGGGGCAGATGGGGGGGAACACTGTTGGCAGGCAGTGTTTTTGGTTGGTTCACTGCGTCAGCCCTGGGAGGACAGGTTGGTCACAGATGGGTGCAACGGCAGCAATATTCTGCTTTTACCTGCCTACTGCTCCTCCAACTGCCTGGATCCCTGTACGGACGCTTGGAGGATTCCTCCAATGAATCACAGCAGAAAAATCTAAGAACTGAACTTCAAATGCCTTGGACACATTTGCCTGATTCATTTCCTACTCGCACTGCTTTCACAGCAGCATGCATTAGTGAAAGTGAAGTGTGAATCAGGTCAGAGAATTCAAAGTTATTTTTGAAGTCAATCATCTTACAAATATCAATCTTTCTGAGTATTAAAAAAATACAACAAACAGGCATTTTTACAGGATTGCAAGAGCATTTGGGGAAAGGTTTTTCATAAAATATGTATGAATTCATTTTATATATGCCATAAAAAAAAGAACAGATATATCACAGAAGATCATATTTTTATGTCATCTTTGGTAAGAAAATACAGATCAATTGATTCTAAACACTTGTTTTTCTGGTACAAAAGCAGTACAAGAAGCACTGATGTAACTGATGTAGACAGCACAGGAAGAGTTATTGTCCAGTGAGTTTTCTCTATTCAGAGCTGTAACTTAGACAATTCCAAACGGAAAGAAATTCGTTTTGTTGTCTACTATTCTTTATTAACTTAGGCAGAGCAGAAAAGGCATTTCAAGTCACTCATTTAAATCACACAAACAGTAGAGCATTTTGGTTAAAAACTTGTAAAAAATGCTATGTAAAGAAAATGATGTCTTGTTCCTTAACCACGTTTCAGAAATGAATGACTTTTTTTTTAAATTGAAATATCTCCAAAACAATGTAGCTGATCATTCAGGCTGAATGATTGAATTTGGGTGCTTGAAAGCAACTGAAAATAGGGTATTAAATGAAGTAGTATTGATCTACATTATGAGAATAATCCCTATTATTTGAGTCGGTGGAGGAGAGGAATCATATTTCTTGAAAATGCCTGAAATCTGTTATTATTAATTTGTGTAACCCTAGTTAGGTAGCAGAAAATCAGCCAGTAAATTGAGGGAGCATGACAGACAATCTTTTAAAGTTTTTTTTTTTTTAATATTACGAAGAATGAGCTTCCTGCATTTCTGTAAAGAAGCTGGCACTGCACATATGTATGCAATAGCACGAGCTGGAGGGTTTCACATTTCTATCTGCTATGTCTGTGCATTATATACTGCATTATTAAAAAGAGAAGTGTAATTAAAAGGGAATAGAGATTATTCACATATTAAAGCACAGTGGCTCCTTTAGAGCTATTCTAGGCTTTACTTATTTACCTTAACCGATCAATTAAAAGAATAAAAGGTGGGATAGTCTCCTCCATTTGCTTGACTAGAATAGCTGTTTTGGAATCATTCCAAAACTCTGTGTAATTTTAGACTTAGGACAGCTGCTCACTCTAGTCAAGCTAATAAAATTTCACGAAAAAAAACAGATCATCGTGTATGCAGAACTAGATGGAGGCAAAGAAATATCAAAATGCTTGATTTATCTCACCTCCTTGCAGCAAAGCTGCTCCTTGTGCTCAGAAATGCCAGGGTGTTTGGCACTGCCGAAAGTCTTTGAGTGCAGCAAGGTGCCAAGGGAAAGGGAAGAGATGCATGCTCGCTGATGGGATTTAATTGTGTCCTTGACTCTCTACAGGATCCCTGCTCTCAGCCGTCCTGAAACAAATGACAAACACGTGCGTGTGAGGTGCCACGTTACAGGTGTATGTGTCACAGTCTAGCAATCACTTGTGGAGTCCTACTGATGGCATTATGTGAGCTCTGAATCAGGTTTATTTGGGAACTGGCTTAGTCCTAACTTTTGTTGTTGGTGTTGTATTTGTGGGAAAGTTGTCTTTACCATCCTGGCTCCCCATCAAATGATCTTCTGTTGGTCTTCAGACATGCGTGCATGCCTGCCCTGGAGAAGCCACCTGCAATACATTCACAAATCAATTTACCGTCGAGTGCTTTGGAGTGGTTCTGTGCTCTGTTGGAGATGTAGTTGCCATCAGCAGCTGAATTTCAACACCATTTCCTAGAACTGTACTTACAGCAAATTAGGCTGGCCCAAAGGTTTTTCATTTAGACACAGCAATGTGTTTCTGTACTTAATCAATGTTATTTTGATTAGGATCTACTCTATAGGACTTCTGTGTAGCTCTTAGTCTTCCCTGCAAGCAGATGGGGAAGCAGAGGTTTCTATAATATCTCCTGATTGCATACAAAGGCAATTGCAGACGTAGCAAGTGAGCCAGCTAGACTTTAAGTCACTCCTGGACACCAGCCCTGGTGCAGAAGACTTCTCTTACATGTACTTCAATGGGAGCCCTACCTCTGCTAGAGCTGAACCTGTTTGTATCTCTCTCAGGATAGTTTTTTTCAAAGCCATAGATAACACTTCCCTACTGATGTGCTTTCCACATACGATTAGATTTCATTGTCGGTATCACCTTCCTTTTTAACAGACAGGTTGACTAATCCTGACAGCTGAGGGTCAGAACAGATAGATGCAGGCAAAGCCCTTGAAATCTAGCAGAAGGGAATCTCACTCTGCTTATGCTAAGTAATTTCCAGATTTGTGCTTTTTCTTTTGTATTATGGACCATTCAGTAAGGGACCCAGCCAATTTTTTCGTCCTGAATGCCTTGTCCTCCTTGACAAAACTGCTGTTTCTGATCACCATGCAAAACATTTAGTGTCCTGAAATGATATCAGCAAAGCAATAGCATCCTGAGTGAGTGAGTAACCTTCTGCGGCAATCTGTATGAAGAACGTTTCATCTGTGAATGGAAATGAGGAAACCTGTATGGTTTTGTGCATCATGTATGTATATGCAGTACATGCAATATAACCTTGACATTGTTTGATTTTCTTAGCTGTTTTTTGTTTAGTAAGATCAATTTTGCCCTCACTCTTACGGAGGTGGATATCTTAACCATACTTAGAGCATTTATAAAAATCATACCTGCTTATAGACCTGAGGTATATGTTAAATTTCTAGAAACTTCTCTTTCTTTCCAACCTAACAAGAGATAGGACTGCATTAGATTATATGAAATTTAAATGCATTAGCTGTTAGCTGAAGTGAATTTTCATATAAATTAATATTGTTATTGTATTTTAATAAAGAAATAGCATTTATGGAATTATGCAGACATCAATCACTTGGGGGTTTCTTGGAACAATTATTGACTTCATGCATCATCTGCTTCTTCACTTCAAAATTTGTTGCACTTTTCATAAATACCATATATCAGTGAGCCATAAAACACATTTTAAATGCCTTCTAGACCATCACAGACACTGTTGTTAGAAAAAGCCCCCTGAGCCGATGACATCCTAATATGTGACTATGTAATTAAAATTTTGACATATGCAAAGACTGGTAAAATAGATAAAAGAGTATGTATTGTAAATAGAAGTTTAAAGGCGCTGAGCAGATGGTTCGCTTGTGCAAGAGGTACGGGGAGCGCCAAGAAATGACAAACAGATGGCTTAGGTGTGAAGGACAGACAGGGAAATTTGGAAGAGTTGCGGACATAATGGACAACTCTCTGAATTTTTGCACACACTAAGTGAATAACAGGGCTTGAATAGAAGGTTAAACATTTTACATTTTTGTATTTGCACATATATAAATGTGTCAGCAGAAAATATCCAGCAATAAAGCCCGATAATAACAATCGAGACAAGTCATGCTCCACAGGCTTTAGTGATACAAAGTCTGTTCAAAGTTTCCTAAGAACTGCGAGAGTGGAAGGACTTTGAGAGCGCTCTTTGAGTCAATTCTATGTGAAAACTTGATCTTGTGTAGCAAAGGGGGAGAAATATTTATGAACATTTTTGCGGAAGTCAGTCAGTTTTGTCAGCAGATATTCATTCTGAAAATGGCGACTGGAACCAGGAAAACCTTAGGCATAGCCAAATACACAGCCTCACTTTATAGCTATGGCTAGTGCCCGGCTGAGAAAATAGAAACGTTTAAGCAGCATGAAACGTTCTGTACAGCTTTGTGAAAACTCGACTGAACGGTTCTCTCAAGACTATGGAGAAAGATTTCTGGGATTACTGCAGATGAAAAATAAATGCGGACTGCCAGTACTTGCACAAATCTTGCAGTGCTCACCATGCCTCCACTGAAAGTCTCACATCTGCAACTTAGCCGAGCAAACTGTATTAATATGCCTTAATATTTTTTAAGGACCCAATATTCAGAAGGGCTTAAAGCTCCTGCCAGGCATAACAGATATTTCAAAATTTAGCTTTTATAGGGCTGAGAGGAAAAAAAATGTAAGTCTATCCAGGGCAGATTACTAAAAGATCACCACTTTTCTGCAGGTAGTTACAAAGATGTATTTAAAAACTCTCCAAAACAGCATTTAAATAAAATTATTTTTGCTTAGTACTATGTTGTTTAATCAGTATTTATTCTTTTCTTCTGCTACAAAAGGCTATTTACATTTGAAAATGGCATTTATGATGATGAAAACTTTATTTCTAGAAAGCAAGTGTTACCTGAGAAATGATGGAAGTTTTTGCCCTGAAGACCTTGCAAATAAACCCCTCCAAAATGATCATGACTTTTGCATTCTGTAGTTTCTTCCACAATAGTAACACAAGTGGAATTAGTAGCTGTGTGCAGTGCAGATACTATGGTAATATGACAGGGGGACAGGAGGGTTAATAAGAAACTACTCTTTGATAGCTACTCATACAGTATATACAGGTGTAGCATTGTGTAGTGCAACTGCTTGAAAGACTAGAAGCAAACAGTTCCTCCAAGAATCAAGCCAGAAGCTGTAGTGTCCCATATTCAATATTACTGAAAGTAGCAACCACTTACGTTTGTCTTGAGGAGTTCCCATAAACTGGTTAAAGCCCATTCCAGTTTCTTGCCTTATAGAGGCCCAGGGGGTTCTCCAAGTCTGCCCTGGCAGTCATCTGCCTTGCAGGTTACACACACCTTTATGATTCTGTCTGGTTTTTGAGCTTCATCTGCATTTATTTTGATTACAGGATAATCTCTTTAATTCCTGATTTACTTCTCCTCTGCAATCTTGTTCTTTTATATCTGTCTCTCTGTCTAGCTAATGTTATCTTTGCATTTCTCAGGCATGCCAAGCAGGAGCTAGCATCCTCCCAGGGTTCATCCCTCCTTACGGTGACATTCCCTTCTCCCGTCAGCTTCTCCTGATTTTCCTCCTCCAAACATCTCTGTTGCTCTTCTCTCCTGTTCTGTGGTGCTGGAGTGTGCTATCATGTAGCATAATTCTCATCATCGATCCATCCTTTTTCCCTAGGATGTTGGTAAATTTGTCTTCCATTTGCCTGGAGAGGAGCTGTGTACTTGAGCTATATGTTATTCTCAGAAGGATGAACTTATTTGACCTCCTGTTTTTGGCTAAAGGAGAGACTGTTCCTTGTGATGCTTTTTATCTCACTCTTGTATTCTAGGCTACAGTGGTTCTTCTCCTTGATTTCTTTTATCTGCTAGGTATCACACCATACCAACTGTCCAAAGGAGATGAATTTTAGTAGGGCTGTTTGTGTGATGACAGTTAAGGTTGTGTCAGAAAAGTATTACAAACAACATCCTCCAAAAGTTTCTAGTAGCCATAAACATTTGTTCTAAAAGTCTGTGTAGGTTTTTGCTAAGGTTTTTGCTACTATTTTTATGTTTTTATGTATCTGCATGTTATTTCTATAAATATTTCTGAATTATCTACATATATAAACAAATGGACCTATAATAAATGCTCAATATAACCAATATAAATATGTAATTAATATGTGTATATCTATAGATTATTATATCAATGGAGGAATTGCTCTTGTTTAAAAATGTTACTTGAATAATGAACAGTAAACTTATTTTGGAGTATGTTTCTTTCAATACATTTTAAGAATAAGCATTATATTTAGATGTAACTGGTCCTCAAAACTAAAACAAAGTCTCACCTCTGCCCTTTTCAGGAGGAAGCATTAAGGGTAGTCTCTATATATGTTTTCAAACTTCAAAAAATACCTTAAAAAAATCCTATATCCATACCTACTTTCTGGGTAAGGCACAGAGAAGGCAAAGGCATTCCCCAGGATGAATGTTAGAATGCTGATGCCACATTGTCAGACTGAGAATTAAACCAAAGAAGAAAAGCAAGCCCAGTCAGAGGACAATACAGTATTTGAAAAGCAGTGGAAACGAAGTGATAGCTTGTCTGTCTTTCTCCTTTCCAATCTGTACACTCACAAGAATATCAATGCTTTAACAGTTTGTTTAGTGTCTTTTCTAGGACCAAAAGGATTAAATGTTGAGGCTCCAAGCATGGAAAGGAAGTAAGGGTCATCGAAATCCCTTTTCTCACCATGTGGGCTCTCCACGTGATGCACTACGGAGTGGGCAGGAGAGTAGCTTCTGCAGAGCTGAGCACGAGGCAGGAATTGCTGAAAGTCTGAAGTCCTCTCTCTGCCGCGTAGGCACAGCAGGGCAAGCATCTGTGAGAGAAGCCAGATAAAGCACATGCCAGTTATTGTATTACGGCAGATGCAAGAGGGAGAGGAAAAAAGGACCTTTCTTGTGGATATCTGACAGTTGCAGTCTCTTTTCTGGTGTCCTTTTCTGATGACATGTGGCTCCCTGTCTATCAGGGCTCTGACAAAAATCAGAGCAAATTTTGTTCTGTTCTGCTCTGTAAGAATAAAAATCTTAAACTCATTCCAGTGAGGAAAGCTGTGCCCTCATTTACACTAAGTCAATGATTTCTTCCGATGACTTTAGATTTATAGAGTGAGAGAGTGAGAGAAGAGTTTGACCCATAATTTTCTTAAAGTAGTTATGGTTTTTTGCACAATCTGCCTTCTGAAGACTCACTTTATTCAGCCATCAATATTCACACTTTAAAGGCTTATTTCCATCAAGTTCCATCAATGACCTTTAGAAATTGGTCCCTTCAAATAAGAAAAAAGACCTCAATTACAACAACATCTGCCTCCATCTAGCCCTTTATTTGCCTTAGAGGAGGGATGGAATGATGATTAAGTTAATGGATAGGTCATTTTCATTTTTCACATTTGCCATCTAAGTGCCTCCATGAATCACCATTTATTTGGGGCCCAATCATGGAAGGCAGTGGCAAAACATCCACTGACTTCCACAAGCTCTTTCCTACACACTTCAGTGAGGGGAAGCGGAGTACTGGCATTAATCAACCTTTACAGCCATACCATAATATATTTGTCTTTTATTAGAGCTGGAAAATAAACACTATTGTCCTCAGGCTCCCACTTCTCTAAAATCTCCTTTGGCTACCTCAGGTTGGCACTCGGTTATACAGCATCACAGCTCTCCGTGACCGCTCACAAGCAGTAAGCTCACAATTGTCCTCCCTTAGCTAGGACAAAACAAAGCGCGGTAACTGGGAGTAACAACAGAAGAGAGACCTTCTCTACCAATTTATTCTTTTTTACTAGACTGCTGTAAATATTTAGCCAAAGATATATGGCCAGTGGTGGCACGAGACATGAGAATGTCCTGGTCGGTACCTGTAGCACTGCAAAACTTTGCACATCACGGCATGACTATCCTGCACGTGGACTGCTGTTGCTGGCCATGGCAGTGGCTAAAAAGGCGGCATGTAATCAAGGTAAATTTGTGAACCCCCTTAAGTGGACAGGATATGTATAAGACAGGATGTGTATAACGAAAAGAGGATATGTATAACACATGGAAAGAGCCAAAAGCCTGTGCAGATTGGGCTTTTGGGAGGAACTCAACTCCAGCAGGGACAGAAAACTGCCAAGCTACAGGGCTGACCGCAGCTGCAGAGCTGCTCGCCCCCCATGCAGCATTTTATCGGTTCCTGGAGCTCCTAAAATGACACTCTGCCAATGGATTTGTCTGTCTAGTGTCATCTGTACCTCTGCAAGCTGGTAGGACTGTCCTTGAAGGATTTAATTCCAAGACCTTAATCAGCTATGGTGGCCAGATATTGGGCTCATGATGGAAGCAGGGGACTTTCCCAGCACAGTGTGGTGAAATTACCTGTGTACACACACATACATGCTTATATACGCACATATGCATGTATAATACAGATTGAGATGAAAATACAGGCTGAATCACACAGTAAGCTTTAAAAGGGAACAGAAGCTTTTAGCAAATGAAGGCTACAGACACTAGAAAGCAAATGGAAGGTCATTATGTACATTATCGTTGCAACTGTTTTTTTTTATACATCTTGTACTAAAAAAGGGGGAGGAAGGAGAACAATCTGTCAGTGCTGGAGATGACATTGAAACTTTAAATGAGAGTGCATTGCAACAAATTAAACAAGTGGGAATCAAATACGCATAAAGGCTAGCTCTCTCTGGAGCATAAATGTATTATGGGGAGAGGCTGCTCAACCACACCATTTGTTGACAAAGTTATAAAGATCAACATCACTAGACTAAGCAACTAGACAAGAATTACAAGAAAAGTAACAGTAACATGAAAAAATTGATACAGAGATTTTTATTTGAACTGACAAATTACATTTATTATTCAAACCCTACAACCATCAACTAGCTCAACACCAGAAGGAACCTCAAATAATGAGACATAAAAAGAACTTAAACACAGAGCTGGAGAGAGCAATATGATCAGCATAAGGACAATAAAAACCGGCCCAGCAAGTTTTATTCTGAAATACTTACGTGGCCTATGGAGAACAGACAAACTGGGCTGAATGTCGTGACTTAAACGTAAACAAGGGCTGGACCGCAAGGCATGTAACAGCAGCATGTACCAACACAAAGGGCCACAGGGAAGGAGCTGCATGGAGTGTGTGTATTTGGTTAGCGGCACACAATGACGTGTGTCACAGAGCAAAAAGAGAGACACATAAAGTGAAGTGCCTCTCAGATGATGAAGCTGGCTGTGCCGTGGGACTGACGGCAGTAACGTTCTCAATAGAAAAATGCAAGAGCCACATGATTTAGCGGTCTATAAATGCATACTCAAAAACAACCTTTCATCACTACAGAGCCAACTATTGTAATCACTAGCCCAAAGCTTAGCACTTCGAGTTTTGGGTGTACACACACACACACACACACACACACACACACACACACACACACACACACACTCAAAAACTTTTTTTTCTAATGGCAGAGTATGCCCTGTGTCTACGGATACCGCAGAATGCCAAAATAATTAAGCATCATGTTGGAATGTATCAGCTGCAAAACGCGACACATTTGGGGATGTGACAACGTAAGCAATCCTACAGAAAAAATTATTTCCACAGCAAATCTTAAGCTGCTTTTCCTTATCCTTCAAGGATATGGTGTCTACTCGTATGAAGATAATGTATATCACTTTTAAGCCACATTTATGAACTCCATTCAGAAGCTAGGACTCCTCTGAGTTATTAAGCCATTAAAGGCTTCTGTCACTTTTCATGTCAAGGTTCATAATCAAATGATTAAAACAGTTTAAAGTTAGGACTTCAGTAGTATAAATGCAACATTTTCACCCATTTTACTAGATTCAAGAACAATCCTAAATGGTTTTTGATGTGAACAACTTCATCGAACCGTTAGAAATTAAAAGATGGCTCCTGGAAAAGGAACTTCAAATATTTTTCTGAATGTTATCAAAAGGAAGTTGCTTGAATCTTCTTTCCAGTAGGGAAATTTATCTTGCATTTCATTTAAATATATTAACAATGCTTCATCACTTTAATTTACCTTTTTTTTTTTTTTTTCAGATTAGGAGTTTGAACATGCTTTCGACATCAGAAGTGCCTAATCAAGAACAATGGCACAATATCACTGGCAGATTAACAGCTGCTTTGGTCCTGGCAGACTCTGAAGCCACCTCGTACAAAGTCGCTCAACAAAATACACAGTCGACACAATTACTTTCTGATTTACAGGCTTGCCCGCATGCAGGGGGAGAGCGCTATCCGAGTAATCCGCACAAAGCATGGTGGTTTGAGGCGGTATCACTGCCGTGGGGGCCCCTTCCCTGCTGCGAAATCCTCGTTGGGCCGGGCCATCGGACGCGCCAGGAAAGCGCCTCCAGGGATGGCGGGGAGGCGAGAGGTGCGAAAGCCACCCGTCCCCGACCACCCGTCCCCGACCTTCTGCGCAGCCCTGAGTTCAGCTGCAGCGGCTTTTCCCGATACTCATGGCCTCAAGTACACACCATGACTACGAACTACCAAATCTTATTTCTTGGAGCAGCCCGCGAAAGTATCCCTCATTTTGGGGTAATCTCCATCTAGCATGTTCTGCCTCACTTGATATTTTTGGAAGGGGGACCAGCCGGATATTTGTGACTCAGTTACACTTCATTAATGCCAATTCAGTCATGAACATTACTGTTTCATCGTCACAAATTCTGGATTTGGGCTTCCTTAAAGCCTTCTCTTCCTTACTGAAACTAACTGATGTGCTTACATGTGTTGTTTGAGCACTTTGCTGTTTAGAGGCTTATTTTTAAAAAACCTAACCAGCAACTGGAGTCAATGTTGCATTAAAAAAAAAAGAGTCTAACTCATGTTTTAAGTAATTCTTAGCCTCCTGATGTGTCCTGCAGTTGGATTTGAATTGTCTAGATGATAGATTTTCTTTAAGCATAAGCTATTTTGGGGAAACTGGACCAAAAAAGGTGCTTTCTTCTACAAGCGTATGTAAATATAGATTTATAGTTGCAAGTTATTTTTAAGTGGCAGTGGAAAGTTGAAATTTGCTGCAGAATCAACTGCTGTAGAAACATTTTCCTGGAAAAGAAATGTGTTGAGATTCCTTCAAAAATACTTGCTGACAACTTCACTGATTTCTACTGCTGTTTCTATTTTGGGATAGTTTGTGAAGGATTTATCTGGCTTATGAAAAGCTAAAAGATGGTGTTGTACATTGTATGAAGATACAAAGATTTTTAGCCTTCATTACCTTTTGGATTTGTGCACTACAGCCATCTTTCAATTTTCTGATCAAATGCTATGTATCAAATACTACAGGATACCACTGCGTATTTCTTACCCTACGAGATGCCTCCAGTTAGCTCTTGTTGCTCTTAACGTTAAGTATTGCTGTGGCAGCTAGCTGCTGCAGTGTACTACTGTGATACACAGTCTACAAACATGTAGTAAGTGATAGGCCCTTCCAGCCGAGTGGATTTAAAAAAAGGTGTTTGAGACAACAGCCTTCTCTTTTAGGTTGTACGAAAAGTTTTAAGAAAACAATACTCCAGTTACCCAAAAATGTAAAAAAGTAGACTTATCTCTTGCCATATGCAGCTGAACAAAAGCAGAGCAAAATTACCCCTATAGTTATGTATCCACTCACCTGAGTCATGTTCAGAGAAATCTGAATGAAAAACACATGCCCTTGAATGAAACCAAGGCTTTGGTATACATCTAAATAAGTTGATAATTAATATAACTAATATCTTGAATTCACCATAGCAATGGTCAGTCATTAATAAAATGCATCATCTCTTGCAGTGTGATTCTGTATAAGAAAAACAATCTCTCTTGCTTAAGATTCAGAAAACAGGAAACAAGCAGGAAAATTTAAGCCCCTTCTTTAAAATTTAACTTTTTCTTTCAATTCCGGGTGGAAAACGTGCATGTAGACATAGCAGTATTCACATGACAATTTGCTAGAAACATCCTACTTGAATTAACTTCCCATTTTATTAGCTTGCTATTGTTGAAGATAGCAATATAAGATTGTAAAAGACACTCCCTCGATGTATATTGTTTTTTATAGTAAAATGCTATGATTTATTATTTTTATTTCCAGTAGCCTGCCTTTCTCTCCGGAGGAATAGTTGATTAGTCTCACTTCAGGCAGTTTCAACCGGAAAGAGAGAAACAGCCAAAATAAGCTAGGAAAAAACACTACAGGAGCTATTTTGCTCTCTTCATAATCTGGAAGAGCTCTTCAGGCGCTGTGCTTTTAAATTCCATAGGGTTCTCCTCACAGAAGCAGAATGCTGCAGGCAACTTGCATAGGAATTAAATAGTTTCTTCAGCCGCACAGTTCTCCTTTCTAAAAAATACTTTCAGATGAAATCCTTGTAATCTAAAATAAATCTCATACTTGTGATCTATAACAGCAAATCTTGTTCATTCTTAGGTGGTAGCGAGAAGTTGGTTTCCCAGGCATCAGGAGGAAAGGTTGATCCATTTGTATGGAAAGCGGAGAACCGGCGACGAGGCTTGCTGTTGCAAGGGGACAATGGCATTGTAAGACATATGGGTTGTTATCTGTCCTTGCAAACACAGCGGATCTCTGGAGCGAAACGGTGCTGAGGACCTGCTGCCCACTGTGCACGGTTCAGCGATGTCTACCCACGCACTGAATGCCTAGTAGTGGGGGGAGCATGTTAGGTACGCTCCTGGAGCGCGTCCTCCAGCATCACCAGAAGGAATCCAGCTCATGTACATTGAGATGCAAACTGAAATGCAGTAAGGGGAGACAGCCAGGAGATCTGTTTCAAAAATCACGCTCCCGGGCTGAACTAAACCACTGCTGCCGAGGCACCAGGAGAACTTTGCAGGGCTCTGCGCGCTCCCCAAGGAAGACCACGGAGAATTAGGCGACACTTCATCTGATGGGCCCAAATTAGGTGGTGAGGGCTGCAGGCCAGCTAGGAAGGAGCTCAAGGCGAAGGTGCAACATCCCTAACCTGCATCTGTGCCCTTGAGCCTTAAACCAACTGCCATAAACAGTCGGAGTGGCAGAGAAGAGTTAGGGATCCAAGTGCCATGGCTTTATTAGCATTTGAGCACCTAACTGCTCTTTCATAATACGCACTGACACTCCATTGTTACAACCTTGCTCTTTTGTGAGGCTTTAAAAAGAGAAGAAGATCTGACTTGATTTCATTGTCTTCAACAAAAAACACTCAGGGAAACAAATGACAGCTCAACAGAATAAAATAACCTCTTCTTTCAAAAACCCCAAATTAAGGCAACCGTAGAGATAAAATCTTCATGCTAACTGTTGTAACTTACAATAACTACATTTATTATTGGCTTATTTTAATCATCTTTAGGCACACTAGAATAATATTTTTCCTTCATATTCAACAAAACATAGACCTTTAGATTACTTATATCTGTGAAATGAACTAAATGATGGGATATGATAGCAGGAGACAGGATATGCTTACCCGGGAGATCTTTCCCCAGCTCCATTTCTGTTCCAGTGTTCCTGTGTCCCTACTTAGGCGGCTAGTATAATACAAGTGGTACTCATAACATGCAATACATTTTTCCTGATTGCTTTAATAGTACCAGAAAGATAACCAATGAATAACCATAATAATGTATATGTAAAGGGGATCACAAATGTCACTGATGCAGAACAGAAGAATTTATTTTCAAAGGGTTGCTAATGACTTGCTGCCTGCCCCTTTGAAAATTGCTTTGAGCTTACAACTATCCCTCAGAAATCCATTTCAGAAATTCACAAGCAGCATGAAATTCCAGTAGGAAATAAAGCACTTTCATTCAAATGTATTACAGCACGTTAATGGTGTTTCCCAGAATATAAAACGCAGCAAACATTGCACTGAAATACATACGAGGAGTGACCTTACTGCATGGTTTTTGAAAAGTTTCTGCGTTAAAAGCTGAGCCTCAACACACAGACATCTTGCCCATAGATTACTACAAACGGATCCTGAATGATACTCTGCAGCTAACGCAACTGAAGAGGAAACGGCGCTTGGGCGTGCAGTGTATCCCGTCCCCACACTGAGGAATCGGTACGGGGACCTTCTGCCTTGGGTAGCTGCAGGAACAGGCACGATGCTTCCTAGCTCGCTGCCAAAACCAGCAGTATGCAGCGAGCAGGTGCTGCAGACTGGTGGTTTGGCACAACTGCTGTGCCATTCAGCAGCTGCTGATATGTGATAATTTTTCATGGGAGCTATCTCAGAAGCATTTCTCCAAGTGGCTGGCTCTCGTGACTGCCTCTGCTCTCATTTGATTCTGAGTGCTTCTCTTAAGCACACTCAACTAACGTGCTACGCCTGGAGGGCAAGAGAAAGTTGCTGAAATTCTAAATATTGCCACTAACCACATACTGGTTTGTAACTGGACTCTGGAAATAACTGGTAGTCTCCTTGTATCATATTTTCTGCAGCTCTACTATATATTTCTTTTCTCAGAACAAATGGAAAAGGCTTCTCATACTACTGACAATCGCCTATGCGTATTTGGCTACGGCTTGTCACGAGCTGCTGCCCCCCTGCCCCTTTTCATAGGTTCTTCTTTAAAGAAAACCAACCAATATTCTTAAAGAACCATAAAAGGAAGCAACAGAGGTATCTAAGACACAGAAATAACAGGGAGAGCAGAACTTCCTTAGTAACTGCTTTAAGCAATGGACTGTGAGGGTGTTCAGGATCGGGAAGCTCCAAGCCCCACAGGACCTGGAGGAGCTGGACCTCCCTGGGGATTCTGGAGACCATTTGTGCGGAGTCATTTGTGACTCCAGCAACGCAGTGAAATGGGGCTCTCTTTGTTAAAAAAAAAAAAAAATCATTAATTGCAAATCAGAGCAATTATCTTTTGGGGGGGGGGGAAGAAATTAATTAACTGCAGCTCATGTAGGTCCTGGGGAACAGGAAATTGTCAAGCCCTGTCCAGCTCATGAGAGAAGAAGTGAAAGATCAGCCACCTGGAACAATACCCAGCCAGGGGTGGCTCAGCAGAAAAGAGCACGGCTTTCAAGGGAAACGGCCTGTCTCACTCAAAATATTACACAGCAAATGAAAGTGACCTCTGCTGAATGCCAAAACTTATGCAAACTTTTTAATTTGCATAGAATTCATGTCTACTTAGTCCACTTCTAATTACAATTTAACTTTTTCAAATAATTGTATGCATGCCTACAAAAAACAGAAAGGGCGTCTTCATAGACTAAGATGACTAACTACTGGAAAGACAGAAACTCTAAAAGAAAGGCGGACTATCAAGAACTGGCTGGGATCAATGCTCAAAAATCTATGTTTATCCAGGAATGTTCTCTTGATATCTCTACAGCTGTACAATTTTTCTAACTATTCTATAGATTCTATTCACATCTATTATCTGCATGCTGATTTATGAGAAAGGTTGCTCAAGCTTCCTATGCTTCTAAACAAAAAAATTCAAAGGTGAAATAAGTCTTGTTTAAGGGAATTGAAAAGATGGAAGCTACTTAGTGCTTCATCAGGCAAGAGCCCACACCTGCTGAGATGTAACCGTTCCTCTTAAAATGTAAGGATCTACATTTTATAGAGTAAATAGGCAAACTATGCTTGTGTCCGTGAGTGTATGTATCTCCTGGCCTCGGGCCTCTGGTGTTGGCTAAATGCAATGGTTCTCTGCAGCGATGGAGACAGCCCAACATTGCAGTCCCTGGGCTGAGGCCAAATGGCTGTGGCCAGTCCCGGCACCCCTATTCCCTCTGGGATAACCTGCAGCCAAATCGCCTCTTTAAAATATTGTTTATTTTGACAAAAGCATTATAGAGAAAATCTGTCTCAAAAACCAATACAGAGCTAAATCTCCCTTCAGACCTTACTCTTGGGATTTGGCAAAGGTCAGAGCTTGCAGGCTGCTTGGTCTCCCTGATGCGGTCCTCAGAGCTTCCCAGCCCCTGGCCTTGGGCTTTTTAACCCTTTCCTTTCGTGTGCTAGTTCCTAGATCTAATAAAACAAAATTTTCACTTCTCAGGAGACAAAGGAAGCAACATCTTCAAAGTAAACTGCATGAGCCCTTGCCTGTTGAGAAAGAAACCGTACATTCCTATGCCAGTTTGATGGCAATAGATCAATTTTGGTATTTTCCACTTTGTTCTTTCTAAAAATTATATGAAATCAGTCATCATGGTGAATAACAAACACTCTACTGCACATGAATAATGGTCTCTCTTAATAACTATGTTGTATTTCAGCATTCTTCCACTATACTGTCAGAAGAGTTAAGAGCATTATTAAATGACAACTCCCATTCTGTTATTTCAGGTTCCCTAATGCAGTGGAAACTGTCATCACAGTTGAAAATAAGATCCTAAAACAAGCCTATGAATATCTTGTTGCTTAAAATTAGATATCTAAGTTCACCTTAAATGTCCAAATGAAATCAGCCAGGGTCTCAAAAGTGCTAAGAATCTACATCATTCACAGACATCAGTGAGATCGCTTGTTGTCCCTGTGCCGTTGAAATAAAAAAGTCTGTCTTATACCAAAATGTACAGGTTTACTTGCTAAATGTCAGGCACCCACACTTGAATATCTTCTTCAGACAACTCTCTATTTCATATTCAGATATGTTTTCATTTCCTGGAATAGCTGTGTTTATTACTTTAATAAACTGAATTAGGAAATAAGGTTATTGGCTTCCTAACTAGGCTAAATTAAGTTTCATTAAAAAATAAAATCTAGGTTCCAGTTTGTACTTGACATAGTGGTACTTAAAATGTAAAAACATCCTTATTCCTCTCCTTTTTTTAAAAAAAGTGTAGATAAAGCAAATCCTTCCTGCATTAAAGGTAGAGCTAGTCTCAGCATTTCAAATGGACTAAAATATCATAAATAAAACTTTTAATCAAAATATCTGGTATAAAATTTTTCTATGCTTATTGCGTGTATAAATTTTTTTTGTTTGCTATAGATCACAGAGTAAAACTGTGAAATGTCTTTATTAACCTAGGAGGGTGATGCTACAAAGCTGTTAACTTGCATCTCCTGTAGGAAGGGAAGTTACGCGGTGCAGCTGCTGTGGGCTACAGAAGCTGCTGTTTCTAGTGGCCATGATCGCTTCTGTGGAAGCAGGAGATGAACATGGACATGGGCTGCAGCGTTACAGCACAGCTAAACCCACCGAGAAATGATGCCACTCCTCCATGAAATTCAGATGTCGCACACATACAACCTATTTAATGGCCATGGCAGAGGTACGTCTCAAAAAAGAAACAGGTAGCAGCATTTTTTGTGCTCAATAGCTTCAGCTTGAACACTGAGATCATTAGGTCATGACTTGCAAAGCAGCTATCAAGTCAGTTGTACCTCCAGAGATAACGTTGCTTGGCTCATGCTGAGTCGTTACGTCACCTCACTGTCTCACTGGTGTTTACCGGGCATGATGCATCAGC